ACAAGGTGATACCCCTCTTCCATTAATACAATCTGCAGAAGTTGACCTGATTGAATGTAGTTCTGACTTTTGTATTGGTGATGGGATTGCATTCTCTCCTGCACCTGAAGGCAGCAGGAAAACATAGGCAGCTAGACTGTCAGTGCTCTGTCCTATAACAGAAGAACAGCCAGAAATCTGGTATCATTGCCCCCCCCCCCCCTCACACATTATCTGTCTCCTTAGGTGACAATTTCACTCAGTCAAGACACCAGATACTACAGATATTGGCAAAGTGAGGCCCGTTTTTGTAGTCCTCAGAGATCCAAAAATTTTGTTTTGCCCCAAAAATGCCCCCCCCCAACTCCTAGGGATATGGATTACATTTCTTCTTTATTACTCTCCCTGGAGTCAAAATAATTTTTACAACCTTCCATGCATTTTAGAAATCAGGAAATCCTTTTTAAAACATGAGGGGAAATGTTTAAATTTTTGTTTTGCATTAGCATATGTCCTGGGGGATACTTCATAGTTTACCCACACCTTAGATAATGATACTGGAAGCTAAACAAAGTCAAGCCTAGTTGGTACTTGGATGGGTACCATCAAGGAAGATCAGCTGCTACAAACTATATTACAGAGGAAGGGAATGGCAAACTACTACTGAGCATTTGTTGCCCAAGGAAACTTTAAGTCATAAGTCAAAAGACAACTTGAGGGAAAGTACACCCATCACCAACAGTAGAGCCAGCTCTGAAGCATATGATACACAAATGAAAGGTGGGAGATGAGTCAACAGGCAGGCCCATAGCCAGAAAAAAAATGAAACTTTCCCCCTCCTCAGATGACTTTTCAGGCCAGTGTTTCCTGATCTGACACGAGATCTCAACAAGGCCCTGAAATTACCATCATTATGCAAAAGTTCTTCATAGGTTATATGTCCTGAATCATTGCTCCCTCTTTAAGCTAGTTCTTTTCAGCCACAAAGGACAATAGTTTCCACAATTGGCAGAAGCTTCAATTTGTTTTCTTCTGCTTTCTTCTTATTTCCTTTATCATCAGGATGTTTATCACTGTGAATTAGCAAGTTTTCAACCAAGCACAAGTTGTTCTGATGGTACTCTGGTTTTTGGTGTCTATTGAAAACTATTGCATTTTTTCCATTGCATAAATGGTGTAGTCATCAATGTACCAAGCTTCTATTCAGTACCTTTATCCCCAACTTCTCCTTCAAATACCACACTATACTTACAGAGTGCATCTTGTACATGAAATGAGTAGGCTAACCATGGAAATCTGTTGAACCATTTGGGTTGAAAAATTAGATGCCTCTTCTTATCCACAGAAAATACATATCCTGGCAATGGAGTCTGTGGATTTTGCACAAATTGAACTTTCACATGGTCATTGGAAACAGTCTTGTTCATATAAGTTCAAGGTCTAACAGTGAAGCAGCTTCTTCTCTTTGCTCTTATTCCATTGTTTCGTTGACAGGGCTTGAATTAGATGAACCAGTGGTAGACACCTCAGTTTCTATAGCTTCCTCAGTTTCCACCTGCAATCCTGGTTAAATCCTCCCCCCTACGCCTTAGGCTTTGCTTATCAGTGGTGGATAGACCAACTTGGTCACTTCCACTATGACAGCTATTTCTGCTATTGCAATGTAAATAGGAAGAAAGGTAGGTGATGTGACTAATCAAAATTTGGTTGAGATAGTGCTTGTAGTTCTGGAGAGACTCTAATTTTTGCTTCTCATACATTTGGCATGAGTAAAACAGGTTTTTTTTTCTTTTTGACCTGAAACGTTTCAGGGGTGGTTTGAACCCCTAAACTGCCCCCTTGGTTACGGGCTTGTCAGCAGGCATCATAATTCAGCTTACTTCCTTCATGTTCATAAACCTAGCTATACTGCATGAATTGGCTTCTGTCTTGCTTTTAGTCTACAAAACCATTCCAAATAGGGAAATGACTGTATATCTTGAACAGAAACTAAACACATCAAAGCTCTATCCTTCCTGCACAACTGCACATAACAAGAATCCTTTCATCTTGTTTCAGACTAGTCTTTTTGACTGATGTTTTCTACATCAAGAACCCTTAGGGAAATGTAGAAGAGGTTGAAATATCTGGTCTGTTCTGTAGCACTTTGCAACATGTATTGCCAATCACCAAATATCACCAGTTTCCAATATTTTAATTGTGGCACTTAATCTAGAAGCTCTTTCAACTGCTTATATAAAGGATAAGTGATAAAAGGAGTTCTGTGTTAATGAGGACATCAGTGGTGAGTTACTCCAGAGAAGAGGCAAGAATCCTTCTCAAGCAAAGACTCCCTCCCCCCATTCTGCCATTTGCCACATTCCTGGACTCTTATCCTTACATGAAAGAAGGTAGTTTCCACATATGCAAATATATTTATAAGGGCGATAGGAATCCAAATACTCTTATCCTGTTTGACTGTAGAAGCTAAGCAGTGTCAGCCCTACTTAGTACACGGATGAGAGACTGACTGTGCTGGTAAGCTGTACCAGGAGCTCCAATTCTGTTTGCTTTGCATTAAATGTTTGTTTGCAATCCCAGGCTTGGGATTTTGCAGCAGGGTGGCTTCCTGTTATAGTTTGCAATCATGGGGCAAGCCACCTGTCAATTATCGTTAGGTTCCCTGGTCCCACCCCTTTTTGAGTTTTGGGGGGAATAGGAGCCTTTTTGAGTCAGTTCTCACAGAGAAGCCTTTCGCACAGGACATAAAACCTAGAGCTCCTGTAGAAAGCTTCGTCTTCTACGGCTTGGCTGGGGAGATACAGCTCCACAGCTTGGCCGAGGATCATACAGCCTTACAGCTTCTTTACTGAGGGACTTCAGCCAGCCATCACAGCAACCTGAACTCCTTCTTTTTCCCTGGAAGTCTACAAAGCTCTGCTTGGTAAGGGTTGCTCGCGGAAGCCAGACGCAGTTGGTACCAGGTGCAGGGGCTCCACGCCAACAGAGGCAAGTACAGACTGCCCAGATTGGAAGTTAAGGATTTCCCCATTAGTTATTATATAGTTATGAAGATAGTGCCTGTTCCCAGTGAACAAGATTGCAAGAGCCAATAGACTGTTAAGAATGCTTTAAAATACCTGTTTGTTTTCATCAATAAAGAACTTTGTTGGACTTACTTTAAGCCTCTACAGAACTTTGTTTTTGGGAGGTCCAAGGGCCTTTAATCTGAGGTAGCCCCGGCATCCCGTTGGGCACACATAATTTATGTCCTGTCTACAGTCATATGCACAGGCCCAGCATGCGACAGCACACTGACAACATTAATAACAGTTGTTGTAGGCCTATATTTCAAAGGACAGAATTGGCATGACCTCCTCTGAGTATTCTTTCTCTTAGAAAACCCCATGAAATTCATAGAGTCACTACAAATCAACAGGGGACCTGAACACACATACATACATAATTCACTGATGACCAAAGTATAACCTGCATAAAACTCAAGGGCATATTCGTAGCCCCTTCATTTATAATTTTTAAATTGATGTTGCAGTTTGATGCTGGTGTGAATGAATGAATTGTTTATTGTACTAGCCATAGGCCATGACATCAGTAAAATACTAACTTTATAAACACTTTCCAATATAAACCTTAAAACGTAACAAGAATTAAAACTAAAAGAAGTTCTTAAAAATTATGAAAGCAGAAACATGACAATAACAGTGTCTGCTTTGTGGCATTCCAAACCGTTTCCATTTCTGACCCCCAGTATGGATTTTGCTACTTTGGCTCTGATCTTTTGGCTGCGATTGCGAATGTGGCAACCTTTAGTGTTATATTTTTAGAATGATCTGCTAGCAAGTCGCAGATCACTGCAGATTGTTGCCATGATGCCCTTTCTTCCAAGAGTGATCCTAGAAGATTTTTCCTAGGGTCATTGTACAAGGGGCAATGTAGCAAATAGTGTGTTAGGTCTTCTATTTCCCCTGTGCTGGTGTGAGATTGATTTCCTAGAAATAGATTATCTATCATGCTACCACCTATTTGGGGAATGGAGTGGAATATGCTATCACTTCCATCAGTACTGAAGCCTTTAAACAACGGAACCTTAGTTTCCCATATTCCTCAGCACAATCCCTGCTGACTAGGGGAATTCTTGGATCTGTAGTCCAAAAATAATTATTTCCAACACAACAGTAACAGGTGAATCATCTTTAAGTGAGGCTGCAGATCTGTATACCTTGCCGAACTCGATGGGTATTATGTCTAGGAATGCACTGTTAAAATATAATTGCTAGTGTATCTAGACATCCTGAGTCATACTCAACAAATACAGCTAAACATAGGCAGAAATTTAAAGGTTAGCTCTTCTGCCGTTATTACCAAAATTTCTAGAGGGAAATACAGAATTTTCAAAGGGAATGATGTATCATATCTAATCCCAAATGAATCGAAAATGAATTAACTTTAATGCCCCGTCTTTCATTGCCACATGTACTGATATTCATTGAGGTCAATGGAGTATGACTTTAATGTCATGAAAGATAAATGCTGAAAGGTTATTTCAATCACGTTTTCCCTACATATGGCTCTAGATTTTTTTTCTCTATTAACTCTAGATGATTTATATCATAGATTCATTAATAAAGAATGTTGTGTGAATTTCTATTCCACAGTTAAGTGCCACTGAGCTCAAATGGCACTATACATTATATTATAATGTATAGAATTGAAACGTTAGTCCCAAACATGCTGTTGTTAACTCCATGTTATCACCTAGGACTTTTTACTGAACAGCTTTGTACAATGTTTTGAAACAAATCTAAATATTTTATGTTATCTTTGAGAAGAATGAAATGATTTTAAGCAAAGCATATAAACTATTTGATGATAATCACAAGACAACTGGATACTCAAATTGCAAAATAAAGCTCGTAATGGTAAACAGCAGGGCCACGGTCAGAAAGAAAATAGAAACCAGTTTTTTTAACAGTGCTATTAAAGACTGTTGTTATTTTATGGAAAAAGTCAGAACATCTCACCTAAAGAGTTAGTATTTAGGATATTCTCCATATGTCTGACCATTGCTTCAACATCACTGTCCTGAAAAGAGAAGAGAGAGAAAAGGGAAGTCCCCTATTTCAATACCTCTCATTGTCAGATGATGATGATGATTATGATCATGATAAAAACATATTTTGATACACTATATGCAGAAATGTAAAAGGTCAGCAAAATAAGACAGATATACTGGTATCATCAAAATCCACAATTCATAAATATAAATTATTATTATTATTATTATTATTATTATTATTATTATTACTACTATTTACAGAAGGATGACTATACTCAGTCCAAGTATAGGGGAAGCTGAACAAATGTCCTGCTTGTGCATTAAATTGTTATCAGAACAACAACAACAACTTCTTTTATTTGTGTCCCGCCACCATCTCCCTGAAGGGACTCGGGGCGGTTCACAGAAAGCACTCAATAGTGAAACAGTATACAAATACAAATACAAATACAAATACAAATACAAATGCAAAGCTGGGGTGAAAATTGCTGGAAGAAACATTAACAACCTCAGATATGCAGATGACACCACTCTGATGGCCGAAAGCGAGGAGGAGCTGAGGAGCCTTCTAATCAAGGTGAAAGAAGAAAGCGCAAAAGCCGGGTTGCAGCTAAACGTCAAAAAAACCAAGATTATGGCAACAAGAATGATTGACAACTGGAAAATAGAGGGAGAAACCGGGGAGGCCGTGACAGACTTTGTATTTCTAGGTGCAAAGATTACTGCAGATGCAGACTGTAGCCAGGAAATCAGAAGACGCTTACTTCTTGGGAGGAGAGCAATGTCCAGTCTCGATAAAATAGTAAGAGTAGAGACATCAGACTGGCAACAAAGATCCGCCTAGTCAAAGCCATGGTATTCCCTGTAGTAACCTACGGATGTGAGAGCTGGACCTTAGGGAAGGCTGAGCGAAGGAAGATCGATGCTTTTGAGCTGTGGGGTTGGAGGAAAGTGCTGAGAGTGCCTTGGACTGCGAGAAGATCCAACCAGTCCATCCTCCAGGAAATAAAGCCCGACTGCTCACTGGAGGGAAAGATACTAGAGACAAAGTTGAAGTACTTTGGCCACATCATGAGGAGACAGAAAGCCTAGAGAAGACAATTATGCTGGGGAAAGTGGAAGGCAAAAGGAAGAGGGGCTGACCAAGGGCAAGATGGATGGATGGCATCCTTGAAGTGACTGGACTGACCTTGAAGGAGCTGGGGGTGGTAACGGCCGACAGGGAGTTCTGGCGTAGGCTGGTTCATGAGGTCACGAAGAGTCGGAGGCGACTGAACGAATAAACAACAACAACAACAACATACAAATACAACAAAATACAGAAGGGGTCTTGTAGAATCTGATATAAATATCAAAGACCCAAATGGCTAGCTGATCCTACTCAAAATACTATTCCTGTAATATTTCATGACATCACATTTGGTGTTATCTCTGTTAAAGGATTCTCTATCATATTAGCCATTATGGGCTTTCATAATGGAAGAAAGACAGGAATATATTTAAAAATAGTTAAAGAAATACAGTAGATGAAAGTGAATATTGCAGTTTAAAATCCCACTGATTTCTGTGAAGGGTATTTAGGAAGTTACTTCAATTTCCAATTTAGAAATGGATAAAAGTACTTCAAATAGATAAATTAATACAAAATTATGCTTGGTGTTTTTGGATGTTTCTATAACTCAGCACCCCCAACTTTTTAATATCAATCCATCCAAAAAATATAAGATCATGCTGAAATAAGAAGAAATAAAATCAGTTAATTAAGCCAAAGCATTACAGAACTTCTCAGCCACATACAAAATTAAAAATCTCTCCGTCTCTCTGTTTATATCTTATAGGGAGAAAAGCTCGATATACTCCCAGTAGTGCAGCATGTATTTCATTTCAGTTAAAGCAAACTTGTCAGTTCAAAGAGAAAATAAATGGTCAACATACAGTTAGGACCTATTTAGACCATCATGTGCACTGACTTGAATTCACCATGGCCTCTAACTTTTTAAGTGTTTAAAGGATTAATCCGAAGTGAAAGGATTATTAGGATTAAAGAAGCTAAGTATGGAAAAAAACCTGCCTTCCTTTACTGCCATAATGCTATAAATGTTCTAGTGTATGCTTTCCTCTGATTATATAGCTACTTCAACCATTAATGACATCAAAATGTATGAGTGTGCACTGGGTGGAACACAAACAGGCATAAACAGTGGAATCAAATCTGACAGAGGTGTCAATAAAAACAATGTCCATTTCCCGCAGCCCCCATTTTTTTCTTGCCACAGAAACAAGAATCACAAAGACACGACAGGGTTTAATGCTGCCCAAAGTAGACTATTAGTCCCAAGTTTATTCTCCATTGTCCAAAATTCTGTTCATAACACATGCCCTGTAAAAAGACTGAAAATTACTACTGAGTGTCACATTCAGTGACTGGTTTTCTTTACATGCTGTTTGAGAAAACTCTGAATGATCTGAAAGATGTTGGGAAGAACACACAATAAGTACTGATGAATGTCAACAGCCATATCATTTACAGAATGTATGAGATGGATGTCTAAGAGTTATTAATTCTTTGTATGACTAGTATTCCAAACAACTTTTTGTTTAATGCAGTGTTGAAGGATTTCATGGACAGAATCACTGTGTTGCTGTGAGTTTTTTGGGCTGTATGGCCATATTCCAGAAGCATTCTCTCCTGACATTTCACCCATATCTATGAAAGCTATCCTTAGAGGTTGTGTGGTCTGTTGGAAACTAGGCAAGTGGGGTTTATATATCTGTGGAATGTCCAGGGTGGGAGAAAGACCTCTTGTCTGCTTGAGGCAAGTGTGAATGTTGCAATTAGCTACCTTGATTAGCATTGAATGGCCTTGAAGCTTCAAAGCTTGGCTGCTTCCTGCCTGGGTGTTTTGTTTGGTAAGTATTCAACAGCCTAGATAATAAGTTACAGTCTGATCTGGATTCAAATATCAATTCAATATATTTTAGTTTGTCTTAATGACATTAAAGGAGAAACTGTTCCAATTTTACTGATCTATTACTGAAATTAAGAAGTTTTTATTTCTTGTTCATATAACTATAAACACAATTACTGTTTACTCCAGCAAGAATATCAGATGTTGTGGGTTCCATTTCAGAGGAAGGAACTAGCAAAACACCTCACTAACTAAGGCCCCTTCTACACTACCATATAAAATCTAAATTATTTGCTTTGAACTGCATTATATGGTAGTGTTATAGGAGCGGAATTTTAGGTACCCCTCTCTAATAACCAAAAGGGAGATAAATAGTTAATAGTTGGCTAAGTGCTGTGCAACAATGTATAACCCACAGCTTGACTGTGGGTTATACATTGCTTAGAACTGCTACCATGCCAGGAGATAACATTGTGTTTACTAGAAGTGTCTAACATATACCAGAGGAATAACGTAGGTAACTGGTATGGAGAGAGGACGGGCACCATTACCTCATTGTTCTAACTTTCCACTGGTGGTCACTTGAAGTTGCATGATGTATACCTTGTTTGTGCATATGTATAAGAGATTATCTTTCTTTCTTTCTGCAATGAACAGAGCTGCACACCTTTACTTTGGCCAGAGTAAATAAACAGCTTGTAGATTTATATAATCCAGTTTAGAGCAGATGTGAATTACCTGCTTTGGTAATCTGGATTATATGGCAGTGTAGAAGGGGCCTAAGAAAACCCAATGAAATTCATTGGGTTGCAATAAGTCAGCAGGTGCCTTAAAGGCATGCACAAATGCAATAACATTGGTGTTCGTCCCACTGCACTCAACTTTCCTTGTCATGTAGACTGTATCTTCTGAAGAAGGGAGCACTACTACATTATCTACTTTCAACTGGATTATATGAGTCTACACTGCCACATAATCCAGTTCAAAGCAGATAAACTGGATTTTAATTAGATGGAATTTGCAGGTTAAAATAATTTTATTTTTCTTAGAAACAAATATAGATAGCATCAAAAAAAAATTGTTAAAAAACTTATGCAAAGAGTTTTTTGAACTAGTGTGCTATAATCCAGCTGTCAACAAGGGGAGAGAATGCAGAACCCAATCATGGCAAAAGAATGCCTACATAAGAAAGTGACATCAATGATGAAACAGCAGTGCAGATATATTCTAATCATAGAGGGTTTTTTACTGAATTTTCCCATACTGTTTGCATTTCCCAATTATAAAAGTTGCCACACACAGTTTTCGAAAGAATGTGCGATTCCTTGTACACACCTGCTGAGTTGTTGTACACATTGTGAGTAATGTATCTTCTTCATCATCACTGTATTCTTCATCTTCTTCTTTCTCCTCATCTGCTTCCATGTCTACCTCCTCTTCCGGATCCTCACTAGTTTCTGAACATGAATCAAATTCATCATTGTAATACTCTTCTGCAATTAGTGGGTCTTCTGGGATCTCTGGAACAAAACAGGAACAGTTTATGAACTAAATTTCACTTGCAAGTTGTTAATCATGCACTTTAAACCAAATCTTGCCAAGAAAACACCATGATAGATTCACTTTAGAGTCTCCAGAAGACGGGTACTACTTGAAGGCATGTAGTAATATATGCATTTGAGATTGTACATCTTCAGTGACATCAAAAAAAGGAGTTTCATATGGTTGTCTTAAAACAATCCTGACATGATGTGTGGGGGAAGATATTCCATAGGAAAGTGTGTAGTATGGTGTTTGCAGTTCAGTGTCTTCTTATTTGATTTAATTATCCAATTAAGAGGCAGTATATGAGAGAGTACAGCATTGTACATATTCAGTTTAACCGTGGGCCCTATAATCAAAAATATCATGGCAGATAATCCAAAATATCTGCCTTGAACTGAGTTATCTGAGTCTACACTGCCATATAATCCAGTTCAATGTGGATTCTATACAGCTGTGTGGAAGGGGCCCAAGACCCCTTCTACACTGCCATATAAATTCCAGATTATCTGCTTTGAACTGGATTACCTGGCAGTATGGACTCATATAATGCAGATTATTTGCTTTGATCATCTGGACTATATGGCAGTGTAGAAGGGCCCTGAGTGACCATACGCTAAGATCACAGCAAGCAATCCAGGTCAAGGTAAGGAAGATGGTAAAATGATAACATACTGTTGGAGAAAAGGTGCATTTTGGAAATGAAAATTGGCATATTTGAGCAGTGGAGGGCAGATGCTACAAATCATGGTCATTCCCAATTTCACTTAATTTCTCTAAATCCCAACTGCATTTGCATCCCATTCCTTCACTTGAAGGGAACCCCTTTTGTTAGGCACCCCAAGGCTGGTGACACAAAGCAAGCAGTCTCCGTAGGTGAAGCAAAAATCTCTTTATTTCAAGTGTGGCCACACAGGGAGAAACAGCCAAGACAGACCAGTGTCTTTAAAAAAAAGCTGTCCCTCCTATTTGGATCTTTCAGTCACCTTATATACATGTCTTTTCACTGTGTCATGGGCACACACCTCTCTTATCGGATCAACCATTCAAAAACATGTTTTTTCTTCTAGATACATTATCTCCTCTTAGCTTTTGGTCTTCTGCAGGCCAGAGGAGAGGGACAAGCCTCTCTCTTTTGGTTTGCATTTCAGCATTTAAACATTTCTGAGTTTTGTTAGCCCCTTCACACTCATATCGGGCTACAGAACTTTTTTAATTTGTACATAGACAATATAGAGGCAGATTGTTTTTCTTGTTCTTCTCGCATACTCTTTTTCCAGGCTTCATTCCCATTCTTTTCCACAATTTATATTACTTTATTTATTTATTTATTTATTTATTTATTTGGTATGCTTGTATACCGCTGATATCTCAGCCTATACGGCGACTCATTGCGGTTTACAACATGTTAAAATATACAATTCACTTTAAGCATATATGATTAAAATTAAGAAAATATATAAAAAACATACATAGTATTGGGCCACCAATACAGATCGGGACATCTCATAGTTAAAATCGTAGTCCAATTCGTTATCCTTGATTGCAATCCATGGTCAGACAGACATCACATCGAAATCAATTGAAGACTTGCTCAAATAACCAAGTTTTTAGTTTTTTCCTAAATGCCATTAACGAGGTGGCTGATCTTAATTCAATAGGGAGGGCATTCCAAAGCCGGGGGGCCACCACAGAAAAAGCCCTATCTCTCGTTCCCACAAGCCGCACCTGTGAAGCAGGTGGGATAGAGAGAAGGGCTTCTCCTGAAGATCTTAGGGTCCTGGTGGGCTGATAGGCCGAGATACGTTCGGATAGGTATGTAGGGCCAGAACCGTTTAGGGCTTTAAAGGTCAAAACCAGCACTTTGAATTGGGCTCGGTAGCAAATCGGTAGCCAGTGGAGCTGGTACAGCAGAGGAGTTGTGTGCTCCCTGTGCCCCGCCCCTGTTAATACCATGGCTGCCGCCCGTTGGACTAGTTGGAGCTTCCGGGCCGTCTTCAAAGGCAACCCCACGTAGAGAGCGTTGCAGTAGTCAAGACGGGATGTAACCAGAGCGTGGACTACCGTGGCCAAGTCAGACTTCCCAAGGTACGGTCGCAGTTGGCGCACGAGTTTTAACTGTGCGAATGCTCCCCTGGTCACCGCCGAAACCTGGGGCTCCAGGCTCAGCGATGAGTCCAGGATCACACCCAAACTGCGAACCTGCGTCTTCAGGGGGAGTGCGACCCCGTCTAACACAGGCTGTAACCCTATACCCTGTTCGGCCTTGCGACTAACCAGGAGTACCTCTGTCTTGTCTGGATTCAATTTCAATTTGTTCGCTCTCATCCAGACCGTCACAGCGGCCAAGCACCGGTTCAGGACCTGGACAGCCTCCTTAGTAGCAGGTGGAAAGGAGTGACAGAGTTGGACATCATCTGCGTACAGATGACACCGTACCCCGAAACTCCGGATGATCTCACCCAGCGGCTTCATGTAGATGTTAAACAACATGGGGGACAGTATTGAACCCTGCGGAACCCCACAAGACAAAGGTTGTGGGGTAGAGCAGGAGTCCCCCAGTGACACCTTCTGAGACCGACCCTCGAGGAATGACCGGAGCCACTGCAAGGCAGTACCTCCGAGACCCATTCCCGCGAGGCGTCCCAGAAGGATACCGTTATCTATATTTGTAAAGATGTAGACATTTTAATATCAGTAATGTAATTTGCCATCACCCTCACCATTGTTACCCCTCAAATAAACACATCTTCCCCTTTGGTTTAATTCTAAGTATGTTTCTTCTATGCATTTTAACAGGAGAGGAAAGATTGGTTTGCTACACACCTCTTTCAGATCAACTTATTCAAGGGTGAAAGCAAAATCCATAGTATTCACCCCAAAACTGAAATATACATTAGGTCATCTTATACAGAAATATATATGGTACATTTATGATTAGATTATTATTCTCATTAAAAAATACAAAGTGGAAATTTACTGGATAGAAGAGAGTGCAGTAATGTTGCAGACTACAGGTTGCATGAGGCCAAATGAGAATAGCCAACAGTGAAGAACAAGCTACTTCACAATAGCTTTGGAGAAAAAAAATTATTCCCATCTCAGATATTATGAATACTGAGCGTTTATACAGCATTTAAGAGAAATATACATGACATTATTTTCTGCAGAAAAAAAAATAGTTCAAACTGGTATTTGCCAAATCACCAGCTGCAATGATCAAGTAGCACCATCTTTTATTACTACTGCAGTTTTCCCTTTGTTGAAAAAAATTGCATCTTTGACAAATAGTTTTAATTTGCTCCTTCCCAGTAGTTCATTAGTAGTGCATTAATGCAGCATTCTGACTTTCACACACATTTAAGAGCAACAAATGAGTTCATTTATTTACAGAAAACGAACAATAAGCCAAGGGTGAACTTACCAGAGAACAAGCTGTGCTAAAAATTAGGATCTTTTAAGCATTAGGGAAGCAAATCTCTCTATTACAATTTCACATCAAGTTCCAAGACCATTCCACAGAATACACATAGTCTTGTAAATGTAATTTGTACATAATTGTTTGCCTCCTTAGTGTCACAAACAAGTACTCTAAAAGGCAGCCCATAGGTCATATGTGAGTCCTAACCTATTCTTAGGGCCTCTAAGTCCTAACCCTCTAAAGTCCATAAACTGTTCCTGTGTTGTTGTTGTGTTTTTTAAGTCAGATGCAAAGCCACTCTGAATTGCTACTGAAAGTGCCCCAACCTACCCTGGCCCCCAACTTGTTGTTGTTTGTTGTTTATTCATTCCGTCACTTCTGATTCTTTGTGACATAATGTAAATAAAACTAAAGTGAGAGGGTAAAAGAAAGGTAAAGAAGGGTAACAACCCAAACAGATTTCTGGTCACTCTCAGGTGCTATTTTTGGTTGATCTGGTGACTAATCTGGGTTTTGTTTATTTTTTCAGTTGCTTCCGACTCTTCATGACCTCATGGACCAGCCCACACCAGAGCTTCTTGTCATCAGTGGTCACCCCAGCGCCTTCTATGTTGAATTAGTCACTTCAAGGATAACATCCATCAATCTTGCCCTTGGTTGGCGCCTCTTCCTTTTGCCTTTCATTTTCCCAGCATCATTATCTTCTCCAAGGTATCCTGTCTTCTCATTATATGGCCAACCTGTCATATACACATGTAACTGAAATGTCTCAGTCACCACTAGTGTTGACTTCTGATCTAAATATAGTTACTTACATATAAGGCATGCATATTCAAAATTAGAGATGAGTGAATTCTTCTTGATTCAGCACTACCTCAGTATTTAAAATAATAGTATTTGCAAGCTATCTTGGTGAACAGTGTCTGGAGTGAAGCTGTGCTTCAGGTAGCAAATTCAGTTTCCTTCAACTGCCCTGGAACAGCTAGGAACTTCCTTCCTCACTTAGAGCTCTGGCATTGAATTACTGCCATAGTTTGTAAGCCGCCCTCAGATGGACAGGGTATAAGTACAGTAAATAATAAATAATAATAAATTAGAACTCCTGCCCACCTCTCATGAAAAGGAAGCTGCAGTCCTTTGCAAACATCAAGTGGTTGTGCTGTAGGAAGGTGAAATTATGCTGTACATCAAGTTCAAGAAATTCTCAGAAGGAGCTGCTCTGGAGTTTCAACTGCCACCTCTATCTCTTACCTCTTGCTTCAGGGCAAGCAGGCAGCCTGCTGATGCTGTATTTTTTTTTTCTCTGTCTGCTCTTCTCTTCGAAAATGGGAAATTGGGAGAAACCATAGGGACAGCCATGTCTCTGCCCGTTGCCTTCTTTCAGAAGAGTGTATTTGTTTCTGTTATTTATTTATTTATTTATTGATTTATTTATTTATTTATTTCATATACTTGTACTCCGCCCTTCTCACCCCCAAGGGGGACTCAGGGTGGCCTCACAGCAAACACCATTCGGTGCCATCAGAATGATAAGAACAATCAACAAATTGGGTACCT